ACGGCACGAAAAATGCAAAAACGCATAATCGCACCGGCCCGCCTGGTGCGTTCCAGCCTGGGTTCATCTCGAGAACTACAAGATCTGCGGAGCTAAAATTTTGGGAACTTAATCTACATGCATGTGAGGGCCCCCATCCCCAAAATGGGCGCTCTTATCAGCGTGGTACCTACGTACGGGCCCGCCAAAGTTTTTTACGGGCAAGCTGCTTACTCGGAAACCAGAGAAGCTAGAAAACGAAATTATAAGGAGACGTTCCCCGTCCGCACAGGTATTAGTGAGCTCAAACCCAGCTCCCTGGGATGCGTAGTACCCACGTACGGGCCAGTGAAAGTTTTTTTTGGGTAAGTTCTAACTCGGGGCCAGGGAAGCTAGAAAGCTGAAATTTTAAGGGGGTGTTTCCTGACAGTTCTGACGGCCAGTCCTAATTTGTTTAGCTAGAAGCGTTTGCTGAAAAAATCGGCGCCGGTAGCAACAAAAACTGCAGGGAAACATAAAAAAAACGATTCTTCGCAAGGGCAGTCCCTGTGTTGGCCAATTATTCATCTGCGTGCTAGCTGCCCGCTCATAAACAACGTTCACTGGCTTTTAAGTAAAGACAGTAACTTTATTCTTTTCGTCTTGCTTCATTTCTTGTACTCAGGCTACAAACAAAGCCTTGAAATTAGAAGGCCTACAGCAATAGGGTTAGTCACCAGTTGTCTCCTATTCATTTGGTCTTGGCATACGTTAAGCTAAGCTTCCATCAGTCTTTGCTCATTAATCTTCAGCGAATTTGTACATTCTTGAGTGTTAATTTGCCCGGTCTTGGATACGCACATTCTCATACGCATTAGTGACCGCTACTTTACTCAGATTAGTAAATCACCTGGTGGGAAGCCCTTGTGCACTGTACTGAGGAACACCTTTTGCGTTGTGCTGACTGAACTCCTGACCGACTGCCATTCCCGGTGTCGGAAACTTTTGCCGTTGCTCTTCGTGTCCCACAATTGTTCCCTGTTGACGTCCATTAGCGAACGAAGCTTGTCGGCTCGAAGATTGCACGACTTGTTTGGAACCAGCGCCAGTAGCCCCATTTACAGATTCACCATTGGTTGCTGAAAACTACCAAAAAGCTCCAGTGTTCAAAATTCGGTTCAAATCAGTTATAATATACATATCTATAGGGGTTTACGAAACCAGATCAAACTGACAATGACGTACACCTACAAGCATTCTAGCGTTATATTATTGTGGGCACACATGTAATAAGTAGCTACATTTTACCCATTCAGTACAGGCCGACGTTCCGGTTCACGGCTTGCTCTGTTTTGCAGTTATAGAATAAACGCATGTTTCTAAGTAACTTTTGAGACGAGGAGAACATGAGGCTCAAAGAATGATTTTAAGTCATCCAGATGCAACCAGCCAAAGAACAAACTCTGGATTTCTAAGATATAGTTTGCCCCCATCCCCCATCACGAATTTATGAAATAAATTTTTGTGCGTTTTGCATATTTATGCAAATGCAAAGAAGC